TGGGAACATTGGGAATGGGAATGGGAACATCGGGAGCAGGTTGGGGACACCAGGAATGGGATCACCTGGGATTGGAATGGGGACACCTGGAATGGGAATGGGAACATTGGGAGTAGACTGGGGACACCAGGAATTGGAATGGGGACACCTGGAATGTGAATGGAGACACCTGGAATGGGAATAGCGAAAACAGAGGTGGGATGGGAACACCTGGAATGGGAATGGGGACAATAGGAATGGGAATGGAGACACCTGGAATATAAATGGGAACACCAAGAACTGGGCATGGGGAAAACAGAAGTGGGATGGGAACACCAGGAATGGGAGGACGGACAATAGGAATGGGAATGGGGACACCTAGAATGGGATGGAACACCTGGAAAGGGAATTGGAACATATGGAATGGGAATGGGAACACTTTGAATTGGAATGGGAACTCCTGAAATGGGAATGGGGACACCTGGAATGGGATGGGAACAACTAGAATGGGATGGGAACACCTGGAACAGGAATGCAAACCCGTGGAATGGGAATGGGAACAGCCGGGCCCGGGCTGTGTCCCTGGGGAAACAGGAGGCCAGGCCCAAAAGAGTTAACTAAGAAATTGGGGCCTGCTAACAAGCTACCAACATCCAAGACCATCTGTGCTCGTTCTGTTCTACTGACTGGAGCAAAGCTTCAGAGAATAGTACAGGAACATGTCCTAGGCCTCGAGGGGATAAATTAGAGAGACAGCAGGATCAGGGAGACATTGGAATAGGAGGAATAGGCCGGGAGCCAGGGCTTTTTCCAAGCTTCAGTGAGCGGGTCAAGACCAATGGAAGAGAAGGAAGGTCAAGCTGAGGAAGATGAGTTGAAGCCCCCAGAGCCATGGAGGAAGAGTGGAAGTACCCTCAGGATTGAGGGCCAAGAGAAACACCGCCCCAAGCCCCGCCTGAGCTCCACCTCTACTCCGCCTGTTATTAATATGCATCGATAGATGTTGTAATCACTTGAATATGCATTTAATCCCAGCTGAAGATTGGATAAAAATGCTGATTTTGTGTGAAGCCTTCGAGCAAGTTTGTCCAGCGCCACCTGGCTTGCTCCCAACGTTGAATAAACAAATACCTTGCTGCTTAAAGATAAAAAAGTCTCTGAGCAGTTTCTCGGACCGATTTTTCGGATTCACCAAGAAGGCCAAAAATGTCCTCTCCTGAGCCCAAATGACTCAGATGAATTCCTTTGCCCACATGCCGGGGCTGTTGGACTTGCCCCTTGTCTGTAACAAAGGAGTCTTAGTCAGCCCCTGCACCATCTGTGTGGAAATGTTGTCCCCAGGGCTCTCCAGGTCCCCCTGGGTTGCTCTGTGCCCAGCCCTGCTGCCCTCCCAGCAGAGTGTGGGGTGGCAATCCCTGTGTTCTTGGAGCCCTGGGAGCACGAGGCTTCCTCCAAGGCAAGGTTCTGTGCAGCCCAGTCTGCCCTTTGCCCAGAGCTCCTGGCCAGCTCCTGCCCTTCCTTCCTGCCTTCCTGAGGAGCTGTTGCCATCCAGGGCTGCCCTCCCAGCACTCAGCTGTCCCCCCAGGGCTGGGCAGTGTCTGGGGGGAGCCTGTTCCTGCCTGCCCAGCAGAGAGGAGAGAGCTGGGGAGGGGACAGGAGAGGCAGCACAGTCAGGGCAGGGCTGCCTTGAGTCAATCCTCTGCTGCTTTACAATCTCCTCCAAATTCTTTGGATTTCTTGGGGGAACTTTGTTCAACTCAGCCAGGAGCCCAGCCCAGCTCAGCAGCACAGACACAGCCCCAGGCACTGAATGACCCTCGGGAGTTGGGGATGAGTCCCTGAACATCAGACAAAGACAAGTTAAAGAAACCCCTGAAGAATTCCAAGTCAGATCCAAGTCCACAGTTTCTCCTGGTATTAATGAGTCCCACTGAGGGCCAGCACTCAGAAATTGTCCCCTGCTTCCAGTTAGAGCTGAAAACTGGAGGCAGTGATGACAGGTGGGGACAAGCAAAGTCCCGGGGTCTGTGATGCTGAATAAATCTGGCTTTGTTTTGTTCTTGCAAAGGGCCAAGGTCTGACCCCCAGCCCTGGGAAGGGAGATCCTGTGCCTGCCCCATTCCTCAGGGCTCTTGCTGGGGCTCTGGGATGTGGGGATGTGCAATGGCAAGGGCAGGAGCATGGGGCAGCACCTCTGTGTCAGCTGAATGAGACTGAAGTGTTTTGCTGAGGGGGATGAGTTATGAGGAAAACCAAACTCCTCCCTGTAAGGAATTGTAAATCGGAAATTAGGAGATTCCAGTTGAGGAAGTATGGAGAAAGGAAAAATAACAGCTTTCTTAAAGGATATCTGTGTATTGGCAGAACAACAAAAAGGGGAAAAAGTGGAAAAGGGGAAAAAGGGGCTCTTCCCACGAATCTCCCGCTGTCTGTGGCTGGCTGTGGCCGGGAATTCCCCCTTTTGGCCGATGAACACACGCCACTGCCAACACGGGAGCGGAGGAGGGAAAGGGCGACCTCCTCCCCAAAAGGTTCCTCTGGAGGGGGGTCAAACCTGTCCCATGAAGTCCGAGCAGGTCTGGGCTGGGGGCAGAACAGGGCGCAGGAAACGAAGGCAAACGGGAACCAGCAAACAGCCAGATGAGCAGGCCGAGAACAAAAGGACCTCGGAGCCTCTCCAACACAGCCCTTGCCTGAGCTAAGGCCAAAGTGAAGGGCCTTGCCCTTTGCCCAGGAGAAAGCAAAAAACTCCACCCCCCCCAGCCTTCTGAGGGCTCCCAACCTGCAATGTGGGCTGGGCCAGTTCCTTTGTGGGTGTGAGTCACCCAAGGCAAAGCCCCCTCCCCCATTCAACATCTTTCTTTTCCAGTGGGGCAGGGCAAAGAAAAATTCCTGCTTGGTTTTTCAGAACAAGTAAAGCTATGACAGGGATCCCCTCCCCCCTGCCCTCACTGCCCCCCAGTAACAGGGACTGGGGAGAACTGGGAAGCTTTACTGGGAACACTGGGAGCAGCTGGCTGGGGTCAGAATAAAAGCAGGGATGGGGGGGACACACGACCCCCCAAACTCAGCGTGGGGATGGACTGGGGGGGTCCCAGGGCCACGAGGAGGGGTTGCGGCCGCCAGCGGCTCAGGAGCTCTGTGGGGAGAGAAAAGGGGGTGAGAACAAAGGGGTTGGGGGGACAGGGGGGGCCCACAAGCTCTGGGAAAGGTGGGGACACGACCCCCATTTGGGGACCCCCCTTTACCTTCTCCCGCAGGTAGAAGCCGAGCCCCAGCGCCAGGAAGACCAAGCCCAAGACGAAGCCCCCGACCCCCACCAGGATCTTGCTGCGGACGGTGTCCGGTGGCATCTCTGGGGGGAGCCGGGGGGGTCAGCACCCCCAAAACCTCCCAGAGACAACCCAGGACCCCACAAACACCATCTTAGTCTCTCCCAGCCCACCGAGGACTCCCTGAAATCTCCTGCCAGTCCCTTCCCAGTTCCTCTGGGATCCCAAAAAGCCCCCCCATCCCCTTTAGGACCCTCCCAATCCCTCCCATCACCGCCAGGGCCCCCCTGAAACCCTTCCCAGTCCCTTCCCAGCCCCCTTAAGACTTCTCTGAACCCCTCCCAGTCAACCCAAGACCTCACAAGGTTCCTTCCAGCCTTTCCAGACCACTCCTGAAAACTCCCTCCCAGTTGCCCCCAAGACTCCCCAAGGCCCCTCTCAGCCCTCCCAGCACCCACAACCTCCTTCTCAGCCTCTCCATTGCCCCCCAAACCCTTCCCATTCCCCCCCAGACTTCCTCCCAGTCGCCCCCAGTCGCCCCCTTTCCCCCCCAGCCCCCCTGCCAGTGTGCCCCCGGTGCTGGGGGGGCCGGGCCGTACCCCAGTGCCGGCTGAGGGGGTGCTCCAGGCTGACGTGCTCCACCTGGCAGCTGTAGGTGACCCCGCGCCGGGGGGGGATTTCCAGCAGCACCAGCACCTGGTAGGTCCAGTCCCCGTTGGGGACCACGTCGGTGGCCACCACGTGCTCCGGCAGCTCCTGCCCATCCTGGAACCACCTCACCTGCACCGGCGCAGGGTAGAAATCCATCCCGGAGCAGAGCAGGCGGCCGGGGCCGGGCTGGGAGCTCGACGGCACCAGCGAGATGGACACGCTGGGGGGCACTGGGAGGGACGGGGGAGACACTGGGCTGAGCTGGGGGGCACTGGGAGGGAGGGGAGAGGGCTTGGAGGACATTGGTAGGGATTGAGATGGCAGTGGGAGGGACTGGGATGGCAGTGGGAGGGACTGGGAATAGAGTGGGGGAGAAGGGGCTGGGCTGGGGGGGCACTGGGGAGAGCGTTGGGAGGTCTGGGAGTGAAGTGAGAACGACTGGGAATGGACTGAGAGGGTCTGGGAATGGATCGGGAAGGTCTGGGAGTGGAGTGAGAGGGTCTGGGAAGGACTGGGATGTACTGGGAAAGGCTGGGCTGGACTGGGAAGGAAGCGATCCGGACTGGGAGGCTGAGTCGTGGTGAGGGAAGTCTTTGGTTTGGGTCTGCCTGGCAACTGGAGCGTCATCAGAAAGACGCGCTGGGATTGGCTGAGGGGCGGGAGCTCGGTGGCCCCAGCGGGGTGGAGACGCGGGGGGGCACTGGGAGAGACTGGGATGGACTGGGATGGACTTTAAAAAAGTGGAATGGACTGAGAGAGACTAGGGGGCATTGGAAGGACTGGGAGAGACAGGAAAGAACTGGGAAGGGGTAAAAGGCCAAGGGAAGGGCACAGGGAGGGCTGAGGGGTCTGGGGTGATTTCCAGGGAGGGCATGAGGGGCTCCAGGGTCATTCCTGGGGCAGGGGCTGAGGGGATCCGCTCTGCCCCACGCTCACCTCTCCTCTGCACTCTGAACGGAGCACCAAGTTTGTAGTTGTGCCGGCAGAGCCTGTCCACTTCACCCCGTTCGTACTCCAGAATTTCGGGGTTGTTGTTCCATTGCCTGGCCCAGAATTCTCCATACGGGGTGTCCCCCACAAAGACCCCCACATCGCTGTCGAAGTGGGCGTACTGCTCCCGGTTGTAGATGTACCTCTGCACGTACCTCACCCACTCGGTGCCGCTGATGAAGTGACACTCAGCCTTTCCCATCCACTGGAACACCCCTGTGTGTGCAGGACACGGGTCAGGGGATGCCTCGTCCCCCCCATCATCCCCCAGCCCCCCACAACAGGCTGGGAGCTCAGGGGGCCACCCCGGACCCCCCTTTCTCACCCCCTCTACCCCATGGACGCCCCAGCACCGGCTCTTGGCTGGGGGAGAACCCCCCCATCAGCCCCCCGGGGATGGACAGGGGGATTGGGGACCCCCCCACTGTGGATCCGACCCCCCCAGAACCCCAGAGAACCGCTCCAGGGCTCGATGGACACCCAGGAACCCCCAGGGCACCCCTCTGCCTGCTCTCCCACACCCCTTTGCCCCCCTCTCCCACCCCTTTCCCACCGGCCCCACAATCCCCAGACCCCCCCGCCCTCACTTTGGGGCTCCCACCCCCCTCCCACTCACTCCGGGCCTTCCAACCCCCCTCCACTCACTTGTTGGGGCTCCCACCCCCTCTTCTCCCCTCTTTCCCCGCGCCGTTCCCACCCGACCCCCCCCCCCCGCGTCACCCGACAGCTCTCTTCGCCCGCAGCCGGGGGTGCTTCCCAGCACCACCGCACCGCCAGCACGCCCCAGCTCCCCGCACACGCTCCATTGCCCAGCGCCGACAGCTGCGACGCCCCAATACGCCGGGCGGCGCCGTTTGTTGGGGTTGCGGGCGCGCTGGGCTTGCTTGAGGGCGCAGTCGGGGGCCCTTTTCGAGGCGTCTTCCCGCGCGACTGATGAGTCATCAGCCGCGCTGCGCTGGACTTGGGCGCGCAGGGCGGCGTGGGCGCTTTGGGATTGCTGAGGGCGTTGGGGCCCCCGCGGCGCCCCGGGGCTGGAGAAAGGATTCGGGGGTCGTGGGCTGCGGGGGAGGGGGGAGCTCAGGGCCCACCGAGAAATGGGCATCCAGGGAGTGCAGAGAATTGGGAAGCTTACTGGGACACCGGGTAGCAGTTCGGCGGGGTGTCAGAACCAAAGCAGGTACAGGGGACACACGAAAGGACCCCCCCCAAAATTTAGCACGGGATGGATTGGGGTCAGGCTGGGACCATCAGCCATCCAAGGACCCTCCAAATCCTTTCAGCCTTTCCATTTCCCCCCAAAGCCGCTCCCCTTCCCTTGAAAACGCTCCCACAAAACTCCCTCCCAGTTGCCCCCAGGACTCCCCAAAGCCCCCCTCAGCCCTTCCCAGCACCCAAAACCTCCTTTCAGCCTCTCCATCCCCCCCCAGACCCTTTCCCTTACCCCCCAAACTCCCAACCAGTTCCCCCCAAGGCCCCCAGAGCCCCTCAGCCCCCTCCCAGTGTGCCCCCGGTGCTGGGGGGGCCGGGCCGTACCCCAGTCCTGGCTGAGGGGGTGCTCCAGGCTGACGTGCTCCACCCGGCACCGGGGGGAATTTCCAGCATCCCCAGCACCTGGTGGGTCCAGTCCCCGTTGCTTCAAGAGAGCGTGGAGGAAAAGACTCCAGGCCAGGGTTGTGGATGAGATGAGATAAAGAGAGCAGGTCCTTTAGTGGAGCCTCAGGCCAGGGGAACACACACCACGTGCACCCCCCAGGCAGTGGCTCTGGGATTTTATAACAAGGTCCATCCAACCCCAGATCTCTCCACCCCCCACTTCTGCCCTGTTCTGCCCCCGACACGCCCCTTTGGGAATTGGCTTTGGGGTCTTTGGGACCCCTTCTTCCTCAGCATCATCTTCTTCGCAGCACCCACAGTCCTTGGAGCTCCTCCAAAGTTCTGGGCTTGAAGGTGGTTGTGTCTGTGTGATGTCTTCTGGTCCAGGCTTTTCTGCAATTCTACCTTGAAAAGAAGACTAAACACGCTAAAGGGATTTAGAGGGATTGATATGAGATGGGGTAACAGGGTTGGGGATGTGCAAACATTATGCTACAGGGTAAGGGATAGAATGCAGCTACATTAAAATCTGCAATCACTACACCACTACTTCTAAAATCTACCAAAGTTAAAAAATCCAAAAAGCTCTGAGGCATCACACCTCTTCTTTTACAGTTCTAGCACAACTTTTTATAGGTCAATCGTATTATATTATAGAGCTCCATTTCTATGTTGGGTAGGTACACCTTTTATATATATTTATATAACTTTTATAAACCTTTTAATGCCTTAATAAAATCCCAGGGATCCTGCTTGGAACTCCCCGCATCCAGAGACTGAGAGGATCTCCCTGAATAACACTTTCAGTGGGCAGTGGAATCCTCAGGGTCCTGGAACCCCTGGGGGCATCAACAGCTTTGTCCCTCCAAAGGGGTCACAATTTGTTTCCAATGGTTCAAGAATACAAAATAAACCAAATACCAGTTTCCAAAACCAAATCAACTTATAAGTCCAGAAATCACAAGTTAATATCCAAAATACCAGAAAGGATTTCTTCAAGATTCTTTCTTTGCAACCTGAAGTACCCATAATACAAATTAAACCAAATACCTGTTTCCAAAACCAAATAAACCAAATACCAGTTCCGGAACCAAATAAACCAATGAGTCCAGACTCCCAAATTAATATCCAAAATCATGGCCAGGCTTTGTGAACGAAGATGTGGGAAGGGCTCTGCCAACATTTGCTACAAGCACACTGGTGGCTAAAGAGGCCAATACGAGATAGACACGTCCAGTTGCAAAAGGCAGAGCAGAAAGACTCCTTGGATGGGATGGACAGGACACGGTTCTTTCTGCGTTGTCTTTTCTCCTCGATGGTGATCCTGCTGCGTTCTCAAAGGAAGCAGCAGCGTTAGAGATGGGGTGTCTCCAGACCTCCCGACTGGAGGCCAGAGTAGACCAGTGATGGAGATCAATGTGGCCAAGGCTGAGATGTTGTTTCAGGCAGTCCTTGTATCTCCTCTTCGGGGCTCCTCTCTTGCAGCAGCCGGTGGCAAGTTCACCACAGAGCACGATCTTAGGGAGGGGGTGGTTGGTCCTTCATCCTGGAGACGTGCCCTGCCCAGCACAGCTGTGTTCTCAGCAACATGGCCTCAATCCTTGTGACTGCTGCCTGTTCCAGAACAGATGGATTGGTCACATCATCTGACCAGTGGATGTTTAGGATTGTACGGAGGCAGCGTTGATGGAAGCGTTCCAGGAGTCGCAGGTGGTGGCTGTAGATGACCCAGGATTCGGACCCATATAAGAGAGTAGACAGCACAATGGCTCTGTAAACACCAATCTTTGTGCTTTTCTTCAAGTGTTTATTTCACCAAACTCTTTTATGGAGTTTTCCAAAAGCTCTCTATGCCTTTGCTAACCTGTTGTCCATCTCTCCGTCAATCTCACCATCCGAGGAGATGAGGTTGCCAAGGTAATTAAACTGCTGGACTGATTTGAGCTCTGATTGGCCAATAGTGATGTGGGGATGATGGAAGACTTCCCGAGGTGCAGGTTGATGGAGAACTTCTGTTTTCTTTAAGCTGACTTCCAGCCCAAAGAGCTCAGCAGCCTCAGCAAAGCAGGATGTTAAACGCTGCAGAGCTGCTTCTGTGGGAGCGACGAGGGCGGCGTCATCAGCATAAAGCAGCTCCTGGACAAGATGGTTTAAGGTCTTGGTGTGGGCCTTCAGTCGCCTTAGGTTGAAAGGGCTTCCATCAGTACGATATCGGATGTAGATCCCGTCCTGATCATCGAGGTCTGCCGTGGCCCTTTGGAGCATCCTGCTGGAAAAGATTGTGAATAGGGTTGGTGCAAGAACGCAGCCTTGTTTCATACCATTGGTTATTAGAAAGGGCTCAGAAAGTGCATTGCCATATCTGACTTGGCCGTGCTGATCCTCATGGAGTGAGATGATCTCTTTGAGGAACTTGGGGGGACAACCTAAACGTTCCAAAATCTGCCACACACCTTTTCTGCTCACAGTATTGAAAACCTTGGTGAGGTCAACAAAGGTTCCATAGAGACCTTTGTTCTGTTCCCTGTACTTCTCTTGCAGTTGTCTGAGAACAAATCCCATGTCTGTGGGGCTCCTGTTGGCTCTGAAACCACATTGGTTTTCAGGGAGAATTCCTTCTGCTATAGTGGGTTTTAGTCTGTTCAAGAGTATTCTTGCCAGGATTTTGCCAGCAATGGGGAGCAGAGTAATACCCCGGTAATTTCAGCAGTCTGATTGTGCTGGTTTAAAAGTAAACCAGCAGGGGAAATGAAGTCAACTCAAAAGAGAGATTTTAAGTGAGAATAATAATTTAATAAAATAATACTTTAAGTCTGATTATACAGACAAACAATTGGTTTTAACCCACAAAACCCAAATGTCTAACCCAGCACCCTGGGGCATGAACAGAGTGGTGTTTGTTGGGCCCCCTGAGCCCAAAGTAAAGGGAGAGGGAAAAAAACCCTGTTGGTGAGACTGGTGGTGAAGTCTGGTCAAGAGTGGTGGTTGCAGTTTGGTTGAGAGTGGTGATCTGCAGTCTGGTTGACAGTGGTGGTCACAGTCTGATTGAAAAGTGGTGGTTGCAGTCTGGTTGGAGGGACATCGCTGACATCACAGAGAGAGCAGTGACATCACAGGGACAGCGGTGACATCACAGACACATTGGTGACATCACAGGGACAGCAGTGACATCACAGAGACATTGGTGACATCACAGGGATAGCGGTGACATCACAGGGACATTGGTGACATCACAGGGATAGCGGTGACATCACAGGGATAGCAGTGACATCACAGATGCAGTAGTGACATCATCGACACAACTGTGATATCACAGAGACATTGGTGACATGACAAGGACACTGGTGACATCACAGACACAGTGGTGACATCACAGAGACACCGGTGACATCACAAAGACAGCAGTGATGTCACAGGGACAGCAATGACATCACAGGGACAGAAATGACATCACAGAGAGAGCGATGACATCACAGACACATCAGTGACATCACAGGTATATCGATGACATCACAAAGACAACGGTGACATCACAAAGACAGTGGTGACATCACAGAGTCAACGGTGACATCACAAGCACAGCAGTGACATCACAGGGACAGCAGTGACATCACAGGGACAACGGTGACATCACAGGGACATCGGTGACATCACAGGGACGACAGTGAAATCACAGGGACATCGGTGACATCACAGTCACAGCAGTGACATCACAGGGACAGCAGTGACTGTTACGACCCCCCCCCAGGAAAAAGGCGGGGGGGTAACTCAGGTTTTATCAATAATTCTCTTGGGGTGGATTAAAGTGAAACGACACTGAATAATCGGTGTCTGAAAACAGATTGACAAGGTTTATTTGAACAATTTTGTATCAACAGGTATTGCAGCATTTTGGGGGCTGTCATATAACAAGGTCAACCTTTCAGGGGAGGAGAAAAATGCACAGGGGAGAGAAAGACAGGGTAAGAGTAAGGGAGAGCAAGAAAAAGGAAAAGAAGATAGTGGTAAAAACGTAAATAGTCACCGCCCACTGGATCCAGCCATGTAAAAAGCAATGGTCTGGATCCGCAGGCGGTGGGGGGAGAAGAGGGAAAAATCCCCCCCAAACCCCCAAAGTCACCAGTCAATATCCATATCCTTTGCACCTCCCCAAGGTGGGGAGTTGTTTCCATAGGGGGGTGTCCCCCTTTTTGGCGCGGAGTTCATGTGGAGGGCGTGGTAAACTCGGCTCTTCCCGCCTTTTGGGGGCTTGACATCTTCTGCACTGGAGGAGGAGGATGGGCCCAGCTGCCCATCAGAAAGTCAAAAGCCTGCAGAAGTCTCTTAGAATGCAGAAATCATTAACTGTTCCAGTCTCTGACACCACCCCGTGATTTATGCATTCAATGATTTTTGTTCTCTGTGAATCTTCTTTGTGGGCGGTGCTTCTCGTACAGTGGACAGGAAGACAGAAGAGTAAAGGAAAGGAAGAGGTAGCCCCAATGCACCGCAACCCTCCTCTCTCAAAAATCCCAACTTTATAATAAAATAGTAATAGGATTTCAATAGCTACAATCAAATATTTTAACATTTATAATGTTACAAACATACACAAGTACTTGAAATTATATATCAAAAAACATTGAGTTACTTGGGAGCTGGTAAAAGGCTTTCTTAAATTTAATTCTATTTGTTAAATTTTACTAAATATGAAATTCAATGCCTTTTAAGGCCGGAGGTTAATGTATATAATGCATATTTGTATGTTTCCAAATATGCATGAAGACTTGTACTAACTCCCAGGTTATATTTGGTTGAGTTTCTCAATCAAGAGAGATATTTAAAAAGACAAAATAAACTTGACAAAAATTAAACTAACAATACATCTCAGAAAAACTACACAAACAAGTGAACAATTCTTAACAAGTTGTTAATACAAGTAATTTTGGGAGCAGGGGAACACAAGCACAATGTTTGTGGTAGGTTTTTACATCTTGCAAAATTATTAGGATCATAACATTTTTAAGATAAAACACATGCAAACAAAAAACCCCAAACCTG